TTATCCTTGACCTGGCTTGCAAGGTTATTATAACTTTATGGTATAGTAATACCATAAAGTTATCCAAGGTCTTGAAACTGGTAGAAAATAAGGAAGGCTAAGTCCTTCTGCTTATAAAACTGATCATCAGCTCTATTGCCTTACCTCTTTGATCTTCTTGATATGAATATTATTTGATCGACCCCACTCAAGCTCTTTCTAGAAAACAAAGTGAAAAAAGCAAATGCAAAAATACGTCAGAAACTTGTGTCTTCTACTGCTAGTAGCAAACTTTCTCTCTTATTTTGTGTAGTGACAAGTAGCTACATGTGGTCATGGAAGAATTTGATCTCGTTTCACAGCTTTCTTTCCATCAATAGCAATCAAGTATTAAGACATGGTTGGAAATAAAAGACAATCATGTATTTGACTAAAACTACACTGTGGTCACCACTCGCACATCTACATTTTTCATATACACCATTAAGCTCAACTCCACTGTGTCGCAGCTACAGAAACTACTTTAAGATGACACTTCTCCCAAGAAAACAGACTTCTTTATCTGGATGTGTAACTTTTATCAGATGGATTCTGGTCATCTTGGCTACTCATCACAACTCAGTGTATGTTAGACACTGGTGTTCATAAAGCATATTGTGCTCTGAAAGAAGCAGAGAAATGAAAAAGGGTTTATCTTTTATGCACAAAAGAAAGATGGGAGGGAATTCTTGTGAGCATACTACAGCTCAATTTCCCTTTTCAGACTACATTTCAAACTCTTTGGCCACTGTTGATCCATCAGTGAAAGGGACAGCAGACAGGTTTGCCTTCTAATGCTCAGCAGTGGATTCAAAGACTCAAGTTCTCTTGAAGCCTATGCTTCTATTTATTTATGAAAAATTATAACTATTGTAGAGAAAGATTGCTAGCAAAAATTTCTTACTAAGAACATAAAATACTCCAGTACTGAACTCACCAACCTTTCTTAGAAATAAAGAAAAAAACTTTAACTAACCTTGGGATGTCTCAGCTCTCCTTTTTGTCTGCAGGCTTGCCATGCCTAAGAAAGAAGTGGTGTAGTAGTCAGGCACAAACTGGAGTGCTTTAGTAATAATTATTACAAGTATTCTATAATTTAAAAGTATGAAGTTTCTCCCATACCTATACTGAAGATAATTTTTTAAGACCAATTTAAAAAACAGATGCTTTTGGGATAACAAAGGCTACAAACATTTAAACACAGAAGAGTATAAGAAGATCCGGATCACAGTAACTTACGTTGAAGGAGACATCTTCAGATCAATCATTCCAACATTTTTGAGGATCTTGTCTACAACACCCTCAGTAACCTTGACTGATCTCATGACTGAAACTGCTCTGAGCAGGAAACTGGACTACAGATCTCCTGAGGTCCTTTCCATCCTTAACTATTTTACAGATTATAGATTATATCTTATAGTCTAAATTCACACTGGCCTGGTTGGTTCCCAAGCAGCTATAAATACTTCTCACCCTTATGAATAACCTTACTCTGTTTTGTTTGGAGTAGGCAAGAACTTTGGGTCTTCCTCTGCTCATATGCGAGCACAAAAAGCAGTGTAGCTGCAGGATGTAATCCTAAGAATGCATTTTTGGAAAGTTGAAACTATGGCAGGGTTATAAATGTGCTACCACGACACGCTAAAGAACTGCAGCAGGAGGAGAACTACTCTGCCTTCAAGTCAGCTCTGGGGTTATGGCAGTGCAATGCCACATCTACAGACTGAAAAAGAGTTTAAGCACTATTAGATGAGCTGTAATTATATATATGACCTCAAACTTGCCATCAGCTCCTCCAACTAGATTGGAAACACACCATTTAGGTCCCTGAAATTCTGGACATCGCTTAGAGATTCTGGATCTTGGTGCACTCCAAAAATGGGCAGAGTTTAAAGTTCCAATGCTTTAAAGGAGTAAGCCCCATCTGTGTTAGAAGGGTCACAATAGCCACCTGTTAACAGAGCAACATACAACAGGATGTCCACCGAGTTTTCTGAGAGGAGGTGGACTGACTGCTGAAGCACATGCAAACATTCGCAAATAAACAGAACTTAGATGTTTTGATTCAATACTGTAATAAAGCAGGCTACTTTCAGAACCATTCTTTTCTCCTTGTTTTGGGACAAAAGTGAACTGAATCATATACAGTTCTGACTTGAATGACTCACACAAAATAGGGCTGGAAGGGACATTAACACGACCAGAATATTAGTGAAAATAATCTTCCTATTAAGCAGTAAATCTATGACAGATGCCTACAGAATGCATCTTTACTAGTTTGGCAGCAAACCACCTCATCAGAAAATTTTCCAGCTTCCTGTGAACACGACTGGCACAGTTGAACACCCAGACTGCATTTCCCTACCTTGACTGAGGCTATCTGATGTACTTTAAATAATGCTTTTGACATTTACCACTTCCATACCCAAGCCTTATAATATGTCAGAAAAATAAACTCCACTTATTTGACATTTTTTTTTCTTTTAAAACAGATTTTTTTTTTAAATAAATCATATCTCTTAAATGAGGCTGATGGGACTTCCCTGGATTCTCCTCTTTCTACTAACAAAGCTTTTGACCTTTTCTAATTAACTAAAACTTTCTTGTAAGCAAGGGTTTAAGAAAGGACTTACTAATGATTCATGCAACTCCTGCCTACTGCAGAAGAAATCTAATCTTGAAAACAAGTTCTTTCCCTGTTCTTTTCTGATACTCAGGCATTCAAAACAAATATTTCACATCACTCACACAGAGATACTGCAGAGGGAGCTCTGTTTGAATGTTTATTATCCAGGACACCATACTACTTTTTAGTAGTATCACCTTCAGGTTAACAGGACACAAAGGAAACATAGGAGAGTAAGGGGAACTCCAAAGAGATGATGCTTCAGCCTCCAGATCAGTGGGAATGTGTGGCATACATGTCCATGTGTGCTTCATAAAATTCTGACCCCAGTGTACAGAAAAACAAGTCAGCTTTCAAAGTGAAAAAAGGCCAACATAAACAAAATGAATAAATTAAATCTGCAGCTGAAGATTTTGGAGTCTCCAGAATATTACACAACGTGTCAGACCATCCACAACATAAAGCCCTGGATTGAGAAGGGGAAGTTCCCCTAACAGGAGCCTGCCCTAGGCTGCAGTGGCGCTGCCCAGAACCGGCGGGCTGCACCTCTGTCCATGGTCCTGCACCGCCGAACGGCCCCGCGGGCAGAGGAACCACGGCTGGACAGAGTGCAACACTCCAAAATCAAAGCTGCGAAGGACACCAGCTCACTCTGTACAAGAATTTACCAGTCCAAACTGCCCTTGGGCAAAGGAGAACTCCCAATATCACTGCACCTCTGGCATTTTGTTTATTACAAGAAAGATAACTGGAACTAGTAGTGTTATGCGCTAGGACACAGCCTTCACAAAGTATCACTAGGTCAGGAGTAAAGTGAAGTTTTTAGCAACTTCAAAGCACAAATGCTGCACTGATCCTACAAAGGTGAGAAGCTCTGTCTTGGTCTATGAGATTTCACTGGAAGATAAGCTGGAAAAAAGACTTACCTTAAAAGCATTCACAATTGCAATACAGTCGCTCTTACTATTCCCAGCAAAAAACAGTTTGTTCCTGGTAATATGAAATGAATAATCAATGGTATTACAAAAAAATATTTGATTTATTATACAACCCAGAACGCTACACTATTAAAAACCTTCTGGGACTTAAATAAACAAGGTCAATACATTTATTGTAATTATTTGTTCTTATTCACATCTGCTTGCTGAAGGTAAACTGTGTGGGCAGGAAAATAAAAATAAACAATCCTTGCTACTTAAAAAAAAAAATAACAACATTTTAACAGACATTGCCACATGTTCACATCAGAAAGGCAAAGCTGAAGAATCAGGTCTTGTACTCAGAAAAGGATGAATTACCTCTGTAATACTAATTAGTTGACATAGAAATAGATTTCATTATCTCAGCTGCCCTGGAAAAGCTTCTTTTTGCACTGTACTAGGCACTTTGAGAGAAAATTAGACTTGTGACATGGAAAATTATATTTAGCAGTCGACTTAGCCCTCTGACACCAAATATAGTCAGGAAGTTGCAACACATCTAGGGTAATACCTGTATCCATCCACGTGCCATTTGAAAGGTACTGTAAAAAAAGTCCGCAAAGAGAGTGATGCAGCTACAAGAAGAACACATCACAATGAAAACCTGAAAATCACTTGTTCTTAGAGTAATGTTCTTACATGTTCTTCTTTTGGTTACCTATAATAAGACATTCCTCTAAGCACCCGAAGACATGGCCAAGGACTATCAGTTTTCCAAGATGCAGATGCACTGGCAACTGTGCCAACACCCTTCCTAAGACAGTTAGCTCACCATCATGGGGATTTTCTTCTGTTTGCACACAAGTTGTAAGTGCTCCCACCTAGAGAAATTAAAATTTATTCACTTGTAAAAGTTGACATATAAGATCAGTTTGTAAGAAAGCAAGACAAGAAACAAACAATTATCTCAAGGAAACATCAATTAGTTAGTCTCAAAACTAACTAAACTTAAGTTTTTAACTTTAAAAGCCTGTTATTTTGAAACCAAAGCTTCTACTACATATATTGAATGTAAAAGCAAGCTATAAATGATCCAAGTATAATTTCCTATGCACTTTGGAAAAGAAGAATTTTAATGCACCGAATGTTCTTCACCATATGACCTTTGTAATTGAAAAGCAGAACTACCGACTTCCTTGGATAGGTCAGAAGGGGATATTCAGGTTGATCCTTATACATCATAAGGTGCAAGAATATGACTTTATTACTTATTAATTAAAAATTTCACTTCCAGACTTCGAGTTCTTACTTTTTTGCTATTCTCTCTTACCACAGATGCTAATTTATAAACAGCATCATTGTTCCCTGATGAAATTATAATCCTGTTTTAATTACGTAACTGCAGAAATTATGCCAAAGATGTTAACCAAACAACAGTCAAAAGTGAGAAAAGATTCTCTAGACACAGTTCCTATTTCAGGTTCCAATTTGGGCTACTACTACCTTCAATACAAAGAAGAACACTTCTACAGTATATTTTATTATCTTGATTTTAACAGCATTAAAAGAACGCCTACCTCTTTCAGCTGAAGTATGGTATGTTCAACGTCACCTACACAGGGTGGAGAAAGAGCTGTTGCCAGTAAGTCTCTTGGTGGCCCCATGTCCAGCATTTTTGTTTTTAAGATGGTAGTTCCCAGGGGACAGCGCTGAAGAGAAGACAACGTCACTGTTACTTCCCCCTCTATAAGAAGTGTGACAAAGTGTTTTATGTGAAAAATAAGTTGAAGCTCACAATTTAGTAAAACCATAAATTAATAATTTTGTGTAACTACTGATATTTTTATTCTGAGCAGATTGCTTATTTCTCATCCACATTCATTTTACTGCTAAAAGCATCTTCTTTAAAACGAAACATGTGGACTAGTCCCTGCCAATTACCAAGTTGAATTCTGTTCAGTGTTACAGTTATTAGTAACTGTTCAAACACTGTACAGTGTTTTCAGGAAAAGTAAAGCAAAACTACTTCTTGTTGTCTCTGCTGTGACCATATGCACTAACACAGTTCTTAATGTTCCCCAAAAGTCTTACCAGTATCTCTGGTACTGGCTCCTCTGGAATAAACTCTGTCCAGAAGTCCTTGTGTACAAGCCTGTAACAATACCCTTTGGAAGTACGTCCAGCACGACCTTCAGATGAAAGAACCAATCACCAATTTGTAAACTGCCAAAGTTTCAGGCCGTTCAAAACCCATCCATCTACAAGCCTTCTGGACAACTGAGCAGCACATGACAGCTGATGCTGCAGGCTGACCAGTATTTTGTACTTCGCCAGCAAACAGGCCCAGTGGAGACATTCTCTCTTTCCTTTCCTACATAAGGATCAGATGAAATAATTTTGCTTTCATAGCACCAGTAACAGTTACTTAAGTATTTCACTGAAATACTTAAGTATTTCACATAACCACCCTCAGATCAGCATCCATCTTAGCTGAAAAGACATGACAAATCCTGCACTAGAACACCCTTCCTCAAAGCCAGGCAAGGGCCAACACCTACCCGATCTGAATTTAATACATATAAATATGTCAATGCAAGTTTTAGCGTATTCCCAAGCTGGAGACCCTATATGCAACATAAATACACTTTGCACTTGTACTTCTCCAGACAGTGAGTATACTTGGATTTCCTGTTTCATTCTATAACTAGCAAAAATCTTCTACATCAACAACTTTTAGAATACCACGACGAACAGTGAAACATCTTTGTAATATTTTTATAGAAAACACACTGATCCAGAAAGTCTATTTTCACAAATTTCAACACCATTCACTTCAACAGGCTAAAGGATACTCCACTCATTAAGATACTCCACTAGAGAATTAGGCTGCGTCTTAAGTCATATGCATAACCAGTCCAAATCTGCTGTACAAAATGTGACTTCTACTGGTTGTATATTGGCTGGTTGTCATAATCTACACTAACCCAGAACCAAATGGAAATAAGTCTCAGTCCCACTCTGCATGGCAAGGTTTTGGTAGCGCAGGGGCTACAAGGGTGGCTTGCCTGAGAAGCTGCTAGAATCTTCCCGTATAGAGCCAATGACAACTGGCTTCAAGATAGATCAATCACTGGCCAAGGCCATCAGCAACAGTGGTTATGCCTCTGGGATAACATATTTAAGGAGGGGAAAAAGCTGCATGCAACAGCAGCAGTAAGAGAGAGAGAAGATATGTGAGAGAAATAACTCTACAGACACCAAGGTCAGTGAAGAAAGAGAGGGAGCACGTGTTTCAGGCATTAGAGCAAAGATATCCCTGCAGCCATGGTGAAGACCATGGTAAAGCAGCCTGTCCTCCTGCAGGTTAACAGTGCAGCAGATATCCACCTGCAGCCCATGAAGAACCCTACACCAGAGCAGGTAGATGTGCCCAAAGGAGGCTGTGACCCTGTGGAGACCTTGCACTAGAGCAGGTCCTATGACCCTAAGAACAGGGGCTCATGCTGAAATGTCTTATGACTTGGGATCCCATGGGGGACCTACACTGAAGCAATCTGTTCCTGAAGGACTACACACTGTGAAAAGGACACGTGGAAACTGCTGGACAGTTAATGAAGAACTGCAGCCTGTGGGAATGACCCACACTGGAGAAGTTCATGGAGGACTGTCCCCCAGAGGAGAACTCCAGGCTGGAGCAAGGGAAAAGTGTCAGAATTCCTTCCCCTGAGGAGGAAGGAGCAGCAGAAACAACACGTGATGAACTGACTCCAACACCCATTTCCCAGCCCCCTGTGCTGGCAGGGGTCAAGGAGGTAAAGAAACTGGGAGTGACATTCAGCCCAGGAAGAAAGGAGGGATGGGAGGAAAGTGGTTTTTATTTGGGCTTATTTCTCATTAGCCTACTCTAATTTGGTTGGTAATAAATTCAATTAATTTCCCCAAGTTGAGTCTGTTTTGTCTCTGACAGTAACTGCTGAGTCATCTCTCCGTGTCCTTATCTCAATCCATCAGCCTTTCATTGTCATTTTTTTTCCTCTGTCCACCTGAGTACGGAGTCCTAGAGCTGCTTTGTGGGCATCTGGTGGACAGCCAAGGTCAACCCACCACAAGCTGTAATTGTGAAGTCCTCAAAATATTTGAAATTAGGTTATTTTCATGTCTAAAGATGTCACCATTATTAATTTATTTACTCTTTTCAACTGAACCTAGAGGATTTTGATATTTAAGAGTATTGTGCTACTCGAAGAACTGATTTGAAATCTTATTTAACCTTGTGCTACAAACACTGGTTACACTAGAGACACTGCTGTGGATATTTCAAATGATGTAGGAGTGACAAATAGACACAGAAGTTTCTCTTATTGCCGAAACTCTCAAGTAGTTAATAAATACTTAGTAGTACCTATCTCCATTTTTTTAAAAAAAGGCCCATGATAAAAAAAGATTACTATTAAATAAAAAAGAAATGCTCCTAAATTTTATGGTCCACAAATTTTAGTATTTTTCAATAAAAACCAAAACATTCCTCTGGAAAAATACTTGAACAAAAAAAATATTAAGGCATAGCTGTTTAATCACATTCTACTATCCTGACATAGTAAGGAATTAAGTTTTTGTATAAACTATTAATGGCAAAAACTAATCTGTGCTTTTTACTGTTAATAAAATCAAAAGCAATGTATAATTCTCCATGAAGGTTAGCTTCTGAAGTTCCTTTCCATTCCCAAATGCCATCTTACCTTTTCTTTGACTGCAGTTCATTTTGGATGCCCAGCAAAGTCTCAAACTTTGGTAACTTGTTTCCTCATCACAAACCAAAGTTCTAGTTAAGCAGAAATCTATCACTGAAATTAAGAAAAAAAAAAAGAGTACTACTAAAAGACAATTTATTCTCATGGCAGTGGAAAAATTACTGGTTAGTTTTCTGTTACCAGAAGATGAAAGTTTCAATTATTTAAAAACCAATAACAACAACACGAGATTTAAACACAACCAGACCCAGGATAAACTGAATACTAATAGAACTGCAACTACATTTTAACAGAAGTATAATAAACAGAGCAAGTGACAAGCATTAAGAAGTAATAATTTATGCATTTAGACATTCTGTATCATAATTTGATTGATCTGATGCAATTATTTCAAAATATAGTCAGAATGTGAATAAAGCGCTTAAGGTACTACTTATGACAGAAGTTTTGATTCTACTTGTTACTGCATTCAGAAATTTTTTTTCTGCCCCCAGGAAAGATTAAAATCAACACCCCACTCAGTAGCTCTACTATTAATTCATATATTCAGATTCAATTCTCTTTTCTGAAAGAATTCAACAACTGTCAAAATTAAAATCCAACAGCAATGCTTTGTGAAATGGTGAAATGTTATGGAGAGTTAGGCTAGGATAAGTAAGGAAGACATTACAAGTATGGTGTATACATGATTTCAAGATTTTGATGACTTACCATACTTAATGTCAGGAACTGTTACACAACTCTCAGCTACATTTGTAGATAGAACAACCTGAGTTTTGAAGCAAAAAAACGAAGAAAAAAAATCATACAGAAACAATTAATTGCATTAATAAATCCATCTTGCTATGAAGAAATATAAAAGTAGTAGCAATATAGTATTTCTGATCTGCATATTAAAAAAAAATAGAAGCATATTAAGGAAAAAAGGGTGTGTGTCCCCCCTCCTCCCTTGTACTAGCTTTATAGTTGAGCTGACACCACACGTTATGGAATATCCCTTTGGCCAGTTCAGGTCAGCTGTTCTGGTTATGTTCCCCAAAGGATCCTGCCCTCCACCATCCCACAGCAGGGGAACATTAGGAAGAGCCTTGGTGCTGTGTGAGCCCTGCTCAGTGGCAGTCACAACATGGGTGTTATCAACACCCTTCTAACTCTCAACACAAAAGCACTGCACCAGGTTGGCTCTAATGGGAAAAATCAGCTCAGCCAGACACAACACACCACCACAACAAAACTTGTATTTCCTTGTCCCAAGATCAGAGAAGCATAAAAAATAGTATAGCGTATGACAAAATAGAGGAAGAATGGAAATAGCACTTGAGGATATGGGCTAGTGGTTAGGGGAATGCTGGGATGAAGGTTGGACTTGATGATCCTAGAGGCCCTTTCCAAACATAACAGTTCTATGGTTCTGCTTCCTTACACATTTGTCATAACAAAACATCACGCTATTAGTACTGATAAAAAAAACCAAGACACTTTCCAAAATATGGGGTACAAAGCAGGTGAGACTCCCACACTGGGGGACTACCTTGCTTTGCAGTGCCACCAGCAGCATACTACTATCATGCAGGTGCAAGAATACACATAAAGAAACTATTCTGAAGGATAAAAACAGTGCCACACAATAATTTAAGGGTACCTCCCTATTATTGCACTTCAAGAGAGGTCTAAGCAGCAGTTAAAGCAACAGCTTGGTAGGAAAGGCAATCAGTTTTCAACGTTAAAATAAACCTAAACTGCTTTGCCCTCACACAGTGGTTTGAGTTGGGATAGCTAAACTTAATTTATATATGCTATTATTTGCTATTACTACTCTAGCAAAAGGTTTCACACACTTAATGATTCAACAATATTTACCTTTCTGTAGCCAGGAACTGCAGGCAAAAATACATTATTTTGTTCCTCTAATACCACACGTGAGTGAAGTTGGCACACCTGCCATCTAAAGAAAATATATTAGTGAAAGAGCTACTGATGCAAGAATACAGAAATTAATTACAACTCTGTGTTAAATTGTATTATGTACTTAGAACTCATACAGCTAAAGGATTCATGTTCAAGTTTAACTGAATTGAAACAAATGTGGTCTAACTTACCTTTTGTTAGACATATTTGAGATACAGGAGTGCATGTAGTTTATTTCATCCAAACCTAGGGGAAAAGCAATCAAGAGTTTGTTTTCTTTTTAGTGATCACTAACAATTCTAAAACAAATTTGCACATCTTAGATTCTTAATTGACTTTTACTATTACCTCCCCTTCACTGCATATAATAAAACGGCAGAATATTTAAACACTAAATGTAATAAGGAGTAACTGAAACAGAGTCAATTTTTCAAGAGTCATTTTGCATAATTTTACACATACTCAAATGGCAGTATCAGGTACAAAGGCCATTGGCCAGTGTCCCATTACGAGCTCTTGTTTCAGTTCCTTAATACTGTTGCTACTCACCACATGCTGAACGTCTGGTCTGGGATAAATTTGGGTATTTCAGCCAAAACAAGCTGCTTCCAAGAACAGGGCCAAGGGAAGAGGGGGGAAAAAAAAAAAAAAAAAAAAAAAAAAAGGTATTTCTGCCTTAGCCATCTTACATTTGGCAGCTCCAGTGCCCATTCTCTGGGGCATGGGTCTCACATCTGCCAGGAGAAACATCATGACTAAGGGATTTTTTCTGTCTTTCTGAATGCCTCCCAATTCTTCCTGAGAAGCCTAGCTTACTTTTTATTAAGACTCAATTCCAAAACCCAGTTTTCAAAAATATGTCCAACACTGGGCTTCCCTGGTTGGATACTGAAAATGAACTTATTCTGTAACTGCAGTACAGAACTGCTGCAGTACTCAGTGAGGCTAAATGTCGTTTGAGTACCTGGGTGTGACTCTTTAGATGACTGTTATTTGACTTCAGATGCGAGAAGGAAGGAAGACAAATGCAATTGGAGGAAGAGAGACATTTTCTAGAAAGATAAGAGAGATTAACAACTTAAATGAGAAACGAGGAAAGCAGGGCATGTGATTGCCTGGAAATCGTGATCAAATTAAGGTGAGTGAGGAAGAAATGCCAGACAGTGAGAAACTGGGATGAGAAAAGGAGAAACAGATTTAACAAGAAACCAATGTGGTGATAACACAAGGTTGACTGGGAAAAGAAACTGCACAAGAAGATGGAGCTTAGTCAACTACCAGAGTCAGATAAACAAACGGGAAAATGAGAAGAAGTGACTACATGTAAGGGAGATAAGAGAAGTCAGAGTTGAGGGGAGAACAGCTGAGTTGAAAGATGGAGAAAAAAAAGAAGATGGTGGCAGTGAGGCAATGAGAAGGAAATATAAAAGTTTCAGAGATGTCCTTTCTGTGAGGCTACTACAGGGGAAAGCAATGTCATTACAAGCTAAAGAGGACAGCCATGAATAGTAATTTACATCACAGCTCAAATGAATTAAGAGTGCCTGAGAATGCAAATAACTGGCCAAATAAACTAATGACTAGCACAATAACAAAGCAATTAACAAAGGTCTAAGCAAAACAGCTTCAGCACAGTAGAGAAAAACATGCAGACTGGGAAACAAAAAAAACAGTACCACTTTTTAAGATAATACAGGGGAAAAAAAAAAAGTGTCTATTCATGAACTAGAGCATGCAATTGAAGATACAGAGAGAACACAAGAACACCATGATATGGTCTGTCTGGACACAGCCTGCCAGCCCTACCCAACCCCATGAGGTACTGCTCCACTAACCCACCATCTAATGCCTCCTACTTGCCATATGTAGTTACACAACCAAGTAAGACATCAAGGCTTGAAATCACTTTGTTTGAAAACAATTAAAAGAAGCTTGATCCATAATTGGCAGAAGCAGACTCTGTATAACCAACATTAGTATCAACTATTAGTCTAGTAATTACTGACTAGACACAGCAGGCAGTGTCTGCTGCCCAGTTCTGGAAGTGAAAAAAGTTAATCACAATGCCTACAGAACAAAAGGCTGCTACCAGGAGAGACAGGTCTTGAAATGAAACAGTACCAAAAATCTGTTTGGCAAACATGACAGGACAATAAGGACAGTGGGGCATGGAGAAATCCACAAGTGAAAACAGACAAAAAGATTGACACAAGCAGAACTGATAAAAGCTTAGGACAGTAACAGCAAAACCCCCCTGGAAGAAAACCGTAAAGCTTTAAGCTATGAAATTCCTGCCATCAGCAAATGCACACCAAGCACAGAGAAATCAGGCCACCCCATCTTCTCTAAGCTCCTGAAAAGGGTGACAACCTACTGTTGCTTTCATGTCACTCATCAGCTAGTCTGGTAGAAGCATGCTACATACTTGAAGGTGTAGGTCACTGATGATTCAGTCAACACAGTCTGACCTCATGCTCAAACTTGATCTTTAAAAAGTCTAAACAACTATACCTCAACAAATATGCTCAAGAAACATTAATGTTGCTATGTCAAGCACTAGTATTAGTTGTGCAAACTTAACATAGCCCACTGGGAATGCATTTGTGCATATAAAAAAACCCCACACTGTACAGTTTAATATGGCACTTTGCATCACCTAGTGCCTATGGACAGACTAGCTCTGGAATCAGAGGTGAGTGCTGAAGGACATTTTTCTGTAAAGAATCACTCGGTAACATCAAAACAAAAAGCACACTGAACAAAACAGGCAATTACAGCAGGAAGGGAAAACGTGGCATCCTACCTGGGACAGCTGCTCTATGGGAGTGGATTCCACCCCATCACCGAGTCCCAGAGACAGTGGGCAAACATCACTTAACAGTGCTGCTCAGCATGGCACTACTCACTCTGCCTGCTGATGCCTGTCCAGCTTCACATGTCAATGCCAGTGTTAGTTGGAATGTACAAAATGCTATGTAATTGCAAGCACTCAAATCTAGGCATCTCAAATCAGTGTCCTAAATGTGAAGGTTATTTTTACCCAAATCTGTGTCTCATTTGTCCTCTTGTAAACTGAGGGCTCTCTCCCCCCTTCCTCCAGTTCTGTTTAAAGACTATTTCTGAAGAAAATTTCAAGGGGGATTTGCTAATTCCGTGTTCAAGTTCAGTCTTGGGTATCCAGTTATAAAACAGGCCCAGGTCAAACACTGAACAACAACAATAAAACGCAAACCTGAGTATCTGCTCGTTCAGAATGCAAGTTCTACACAAGTTTTCATGTTTAAATGTACTTAAACAGAAAGTTTCATTTTATCAGTTGTGATTATAAGCCATCAGGGAGAGCAGCACAGTAAAAAATGCCTCAAAGTGAAAGATAAATATTTTGGAATTGAAAAGTGTTCAAGAGTAATTTCAGCCTGAAATGAAGACTCTGAGGACCTGAGTAAGTCTGAAAACACACCAGACAAACACCAGTAGGAGGCCAGAGGCAACAAAGACAGTTGCTCTATTCATGGCAAACTGGAATGGGTTCTCTGCTGACATGATGAAGTAACTCCTACTCATTGATTTTATAGAAAGGGCAACTCTAAGAAAGGCAACTCTAATGCTTTTTAGCTGGCAGGGACCACCCTGCACTGAAAGCTATCCTTCAAGTGCAGTGTATTTTCGTGTTGGTGTGCTGTCCTCCAGTCCCAGTTCCAGCATGTCTACTACAAAGCTCAACACAGCAGGGAAACTACATTCATAAAGATGTTACAGCGAGTTAGAAGGTCCTGGTAGGGATGAACCTCACTGTGCCCAAGAAAGCAGCTGCTCCGGACTCTGAGCTGATTCTCCACTAGAACATAACCAAGAGTTTTAAATAGGCAAAGTTTCACACCCACACAGTAGAATACTACTTTAAACCACCAGGTTAACAACAGGTTTGTGATGCTTGGGAAATGGTCTGCAGCCTAGTTAAATGGAAAGTATTGCATGCTTTTGTTTTGGCTGTCATTTTTAGTTTAACCTCTTTGCTAGATTTCAAAGGCAATATAAGATAATTCAGGGTTACTGTTTGAAGAATAATAAAGCTATGTATAGCCAATTGTCTGATCGTTAATTGCTGTGTTTCTACTACACCAACCAACGTTACGTAAAGAAAAGAAATAGAATCTTCACTTTTACAAAAACAGTTCAAGACTACACTATATGCAGAAAAGAAAATGTCTCTAGAAGAATTCTAGGAACTTCATACAATATTTAATAACAAAAAAAAAAAATCGAGCAACTTAATTTCTGTGAATTAACTGTACAATTAGTTTTATTACTGTAACTTAATATTAAACCCACAAAGTCTTAATTTTTGACTCACAGCTCTTCCAGTTACTGCCATATTTAAACAAGTTTACATGAAAAATGCCCAAATACACCAATCAACCCCTCTTAAATATGTGTTCATTAAATCCCTGGAAAAAGGGCCAGAAGAAAGCTCATTAGATGACAAGCACAGAAAAAGGAAGTTATTAAGATGTATACTCACCTGGCAAAAAAACTAGCACACTTCCACGCTCTGGTGTAACACTTACGTGTATTTTTTCCCTAACAAGAATATAAAGTTTCATTAGTTTTAGAACCTCAGCCTACTTTATTACCCAGTTATTTTGAAGGAATAAGCAAAACTACACATTTTTTGAAACATGTAATATTTAAACTTCCTGAAGAAACAGTATTCTAAACACTATTTGCAACTACGCTTTCTGAAAAATCAGGATATATAAACATTGGAACTAGATCATTATGTTTAGTTTTGTCTTCAAAATTATGCTAAACCAGAAACATCCTTATTCATCAATGAAATAAATTGATATCAGGTTACCAAAGTTCTTAAAATTAAAATGTAGCATACTACCACAGAACTCTATGTAAATTCAGTAATTTTTCAAGTATCTCTTATATTCTAAAACTATCACTAGACAGCTTTAACAAAAGCTTAGCATGTAAAAAAGGCAACCATTACCAAGACCTACAGATCACGACATATATTTAGAGGGAGGCACCTTCATTTAATCTGTTACAAGTCAAGAAGCTAAAATCACCTTAACATAATACAGGAGTCAGGAGTTTTTGTTGCAATCATTCCTGATGTAAATTTTTTTCAGGCATCCTGCACGTCTCTACTCTCACACTAGGTAATAAATGGGAAGTGTGGGTTTTAACGGAAGGTACATAGCAATTGATGTTCATAATAGCCCTTTTGCTATTTGAAAGCTGAAATGTTAATGCTTTTGCTCATAGAAGGCAGCTTACTTGTAAAAGGTATTTTAATTTGGCTATTGTAAACTACAGCAAAACAGCCTACTTGACACGATCAAAAGAAATAATCAAGAAAAACTCAGAAATCACTAAAGACTGTTAGCACCATTTCTTTTTTTTTTATTTATGCACCTCCATCAATATTTGTACCTCAGCTGTTCACTTGATAACTGCTCAGGTGAGCTTAAGCAATGCTTCCTCATAATTTCAAGGTTTACGTAAATTTAAAAAAAAAGCTCACAAAATTGTTTCTTCAGCATACATTTATAAATTATTTGATGAGAACAAAAGCACATAGCATTACATCAACGTTGTAGAAGCAATTTTACTGCATTTTCAGATACTAGACATCAATTTACAAAACACAGCAAGTAGCACAGCATTTCCTCATTTCCACAGACAGTAAGACATCAGCTTAACAGCCAGTGAAAATTAATGCCTTGCTTGTTTTTCATGGTAGTTTTTTTTTTCTTTTCATGGTGTTTTCATGTTTTTTTTTTTTTTTCATGGTGTAAAGTGTGTTTCAGTTTACAATACAATATAGTAGGTTCTGGTTTCATTCTTCATGCAATATTCAGCTCCAGTATGCAGCAAATAATCTAGTTTCTCTATGACATGGCTGGCTTGAATGGTCACACTCCAGGGCATGAAGTGCATTTCAAGAACACAGGGCATTTAGTAAGACCTACAAGCAGTCTTAGTACAACTACTCAGAATACAAATCACATGAATATATAGACTAAAAGCAGAGATGCACAGAAAATGAAGTTACCACTAATAACTATAATACACAGGCTGCTGCTATTCCTTAATTAGTGTCCAATTTCCCAAAGAGCCACTGGTTCTAGATCTTGAACTGTAGCTTACCTACTGCTCTTCATATCCAACTCATCAAATGACCGAATCAAAGACACGGCTACTTTATACATTTCCCTTACTATCACTGGTTCCTCAATTTTTTGGTAAGGAAGCTGCAAAGATAAGAAAGCATTGAGGTTAACACAGTGTAACAGGTAACAGACTGTAGATCACGTGTGTCAATTTGTCAAATGCTCTTTTTGCATTTGGAAAGTGCTCCAGCACAAAAGCTGTACAAAGCAGCAGCTTAATCGGAGCATTCGTTACCTTTTAAACAGACATTTTCACTCCAGCATCCTACCATTGTAATGCTAAAGAAATACTTCTGATATTTACCTACTCAAGATAAGCACCAGCACCAACTCTGTTCCCTAATGTTTGCAGGACATACTCTTTATCCAGAAGTGTTCAACCAGAAGAGATTAACCACAATTCATGGAAACAGGATGGCAAGGAGAGGAGCTTGTCTAAGTTAGGCACAATCCTCCTCACAGGTGCTGTAATGCACGTCTCTACCTGACTGCCAAGTAAATCATCTGCCTCTTTCTCATTTAAATCCTCCTTGTATCTAATGCAGCTTGTTTTATGACATATCCTGCCAAAGAACTATAGTTCTGTTGTACACAACAGAATCATGACAATTCTGTCTACACTTTTTTCTAGCCTTCTGTCACAAACTCAGGGCTTTAATATTTAGAAACACAAATCAAGTCTTCAGAGCAAAGACAGTAACTTGATCACATTTCAGTTTTCAAAAGAAAATGCTTAATGAACTAGACATGCTCTGGGAACTGTCTGATATATTACAAATTTTCCCCTTGCAGAGAAAAATCACTTTTGATCACTGCTCACTTTCCGTTCTCAGGGTTTCTCTGATTTAGATCAGCTCTTTTGTAACTGTTACCTCAGTCCTGGGCTTTCCAGCCCTTAACAGTGCAGCCAGCCTGTAACACTACATCATGTCAACCCTAGGTCGCCATGTTGTCTGCAGAAGGAGTCCTTTCTGAAAACCCTGAGAAAATGATCCTCCTTTTTTCTGGTAGAGGATCGACTGGATGATCAAAAAAGCCATTTGTAAGAACCTGACACTATTCTTTCCACTTCTCTGATCCTCTTGAATCTACTAGCCAGGTATTTCTCAGGTGTACAACTGTCAGTCCCAGAGTGTCTTAACTGCATTTTACACCTACTATAATGATGCTTTTCCAACAAAGCTTGATTAGTCCACGAGAAAGTACAGACAACATTCTAGTAGTTTTGAGAATTAGTGCTTCTTTTTGCCCTCATATGTGATAGTCTAAGGAACTTATTTTTTCTGGCCTGCTCAAGTGTAAGATTTTTGGTTTCAGACTATCCCAGCTTAAGTAACTGTCAAATTTGTCTTTTCAATTTTGTCACCGGTTGTACCTTTCGTATTCTTTACCAGGACAAGGCTTCCACATCACTCCTAATAAAAGGTAACGATGTGACAAACTGCAAATCCAAAAGCCCAGTCAGACCTGACTGAAATAACACAACATAATTAGAACAACTTTTGACAGCAGTTCACTACCCTTCATCTGGACTCTGACTTCAGTTCCAGGAAAGGGAAGGACATTTACATTTGCAGGCCAGGAGTGGGACTGTCTCTCTTGCCTTAGGTAAGAAGTAGAGACATGGGATTTCACAGACTTACTGCCAAAGGCTAACATCTAGATGACCCCAGCTGCTTACATTTTTAAAATCTGCTCATGTGATTAATTCTATAATTGATTTGCGTTTGGTATCTCCAATATTATATTATAGCAATAGGTCAGTATTTACACAACTATCCTATAGATACAGCTTTCATGTATTTTTCATCAAAATCTGTGTTTCATCGATTTCCTTGGAGCTTACAGTGTGCTGATATGACAAAATCATGATGCAGTTAAATATCCACAATGATGTGTTTTCCAAGGCCATTCTGCCAGAAGAAAAATAAGCTACTTTTTATAAACCTATACTCAAAAATTAAACAGGAGCACCTATAAATCCCTCAATATCTGGACAAGAAAAAGCCCATGCTACACTGAAGAGTGTTCCTCCCTTCCTTCCCGCTTGCTTTTGTTTCCCACAAATGAAGTAATTCAAGTGGAAAGCTTTATCTTTGAATCAGCTAGATGTCCATCTAGCCATAAGCAAAAGGTTTACTGCAAACAGGGATACAGAAGAAAAAAAAAAAACTCAATAGCATCTCTACTTATCTTCCAAATCACAACCGATATCAATGGATTCCCACATTATCCAAGTCAGAACTGCTCCAAGAAAATTATTTTTAATCATAGTTTTAAAATATTATCATCTATAGAAACTAGTAACATATTAATCAAGAACTCTTCAGGATTCATAAAAGAATTCTACATCTGTACAGTAACATCCAATTATTTTAAGGTTTTTTTGAGAAGGGACAAATGTTCATACCTCACAGCAAATGAGCCAGTTAAAGGACTGACTTGGTTTCAGTACAGATGCTTTATGGAATGAGTTATGATTTACATAATCTGATTTTATAGTTATTAATTTTAAAATCAAAAGGAAACTTGGAAAAATTCTGCTTATCTAAAAAACCAAATATTGATTTTTCTTTTAACATCTGTATTTTATGTGAATTTTACAGTCTTTTAAATGCAAAAATAAAATATTAAGAAGTAAAGCCTTAAGTATGTACCTCAGGCAGTTATCTAACTGACTGATTTTAGCATGCTGAAAGATGAGCCCCTGCTTCCATATGGCAGTGTTAACTCATTAACTGCCTTAGCACTCAGGCTCTCCTTTCAATTTTATTAGCACATTACATAAAACCATGGAAAGTCAAAGATTTAATTTTTTAAGTAAAACTTCTATTCAGACAAAATCTCCATACATAGCACTGTACGACACAGGATGTGAGACCAAACATCAGAGGTTTCTAATTCTTTTTCTTTTTATACATATGAAGAAAAAAAAAAAAGAAGAAAAAGAACAGGAAAATCAAGCGCACTTATGTGCTTCTGTTGCTGCCCTAAGGTACCTCAGTTGCCCCAAGTAACTTCTTGGACAATCATACTCTTCTCCTCCTCCGGAACTAAAAAATGGCTATAGCTAGAACACCACAAAATAAAGAAACGGAGCTAAATACTCATATACACAGAGAAAATAAAATATAAAAAAGCATCAACACTAAAAGCAGTTCCTTTTGTTCATGATCTTTGAGGTGAAAGGTGTGGCAGCTGACATCCAGCTCAAAGTGCAGCCATGACAAATGGAACTTGCCTAAAGTAGACTACTTACTGAATTTATAGTCATCCTTTTGCTGTCATCTATCATCAAAACTCTTTCATAAAAATCGTGTTCTCCATATTATCTATCTGAGCTGCCATACTAACTTATAAAAAATGACAGGCCGACTGTTGTAAGCATTTAGTTTGTTTTTTTGGCCGCATTAAAACTTCAACAATTGAGAGCCTTTTATTTTATCTTGCCTGCGCTGAGGCATAACCAACACCTGTGCTGCGTACAGCATAAACAATTATTTTCCATAACTACCTGTTTTATTTCTCTAATTTAGCCTCCACAGAATTAAGGGATGAAAGCTAAATAATAACAGTATGTTCATACAGCACTACTTTAAATGCATCTTGTGCTTTCCTCATTGTATTAACTTTATAACAAGTGTTCTGAATTATCAAAACTAACCAATAGTTACTGCCGTGCCTGTTATTTTCAGAGTGGTTGTCACTGTTATAGCCTGAGTGCATTTGTTCTGCTTTGCTTTAACCTCTTTACTTCGCCTTGGACCAGAATACTGAAAGAGTTTGGATACTCAAGTAAATTCCTACACAGCTGTTTTTCAACTGTAAACCAAATTCTTATTATAAAACCACAGATAGCAGATTAATTCAAACTCACATTTATTCCTTCATTACCTGTTGTCTGTGCAGATACATGCCATACAATAGCATGTCAGGAGATCTATAAACAAATAACAAATATACTGTGCACTTTGTAAACTAAAAGATTGACACAGCAAATGAGTCTTCAGCCATTACCACCCTCCTCAGGCACCAGTTCTCCAGTGCAAGTATACAGGCTGTTAGGAGGCCACCAGGGATTGGGTGAATACCTGTTATGCTAACACATTTTTACTCAGGGTTACATATTTGTCACAATGGCCCACATAGCTACAACAGAGATATGTTCAAAACTACTGCATAACAGCTCTGGGATTGTTAAAAAACAAAAAAATTAAATAGGAAGTATGTGAGCTTCAGCTGACAGAGAAGCCAACATCAAATACCTAATCATACTGGAGTCTTTTCTGAAGACTCTCAATTTCCTATCTTTCTACCTTTGGTATGAAACAGCAACAGGAACCAAGACAGGAAATACTCCCAGAGTCTGTCAGCTGTATTCAAAGAGATCTATAAACCCCTGTGTGATACCCTATGCACAGACTTTTACCTTATTCATCTTAGGGGCAAAGTACCGAACAAAATGCCACATGCTACTTACAATTCTCAGTCCTTTACATGCCATTTCTGTTACATGAAAAAAACCCTAGGCTGCTGGTAAGGACTCCTGCTTTATCATCATATATGAATTCTTATTTACAATTATAATGTGAAACCCATTATCTATAATTTTATTACACAGCTTTCAACTGATTATTCCAATTTCTTTCTCACTATGTCCAAAGAAATAAAGTTATATTTACAATACCTTGCAAAGAATAGTGTTCTTCAAATCATCAAGATAATATTCTTCAATGGCATAAGGTTTGCCTTCCACCTTAAATACACAGGCTGGATTCAGACCGTTATGAACTGGAAGTGCAAAGTAATCAGCAAATTCTTTACAGTTGATGGAAGCAGACATCAAGATTATCTGTTAAAAAATTGCACAGCAAGTGTAAAACATTAATTTTAACACAAAATGCCACGCTATGCTGGAATCTCCACTTATTCTTTGTGCTGAAACGGTCACAGGCACATTTAAGACAATCAAAGCTTAAGATTGGCTATGTAGCATGTGGAGAAAGTTAAGCAGCTGTGACAGAACAGCCCAGGCTACATGCCTAGGGCAAACAACATGACCAACTTTTTCCTGCAGTAAAAGTTCAATCTAAAAACATACAATACTCTTCTATAAAGTCAAGATTTCCACATGGCCCTCTAAAGAAAAAAGTGTACTCCTAAGTATTTTCAAATTCTGTTTTACTGAACAGTTAGATATCAGTTCCTTTAAGTCTAGTAAAATATGGGCTTATGCCCTAAAAGTAACTTTCATCATAATCCAGCCTGAAAACCATCAATATAATGATTTTGAAATGTGTCAAGTTTTCTCTCAGTTTCACTTAATTTACGCAAATACAAAAGAAAAATGTTTTCTAACAGAAAAGATTACAGGACTTGCAGGGATTCCTGACATTGACACCAATCAGATAATCAGTATCAAGGGCAAACTCTTCACAAACCCTGTACAATCAAATTATTTGGTATTCTTAATACGCAGAGCCAAGCGCTAAGAAAGGCTGAACAGCTCCACACTACTGTCTCTGAATTAAAAGACAAATGAATTTTCTTTCTAGTAAGAAAAGGGATAAAAAGTAGAAATGTGAAGTGTACAGATGTAACCTATGCCAACTGAAAGGGCGCTTCCAGTAAAAGCATGCTTGGAAGATCTAAAGACCAAGTTATCTCAGTTTGAACCAATGTGGTGGATTGAGCATAAGAACACAGGTCCCCTTCCAATAGCAACAAAACCAGCCAACAGACTCAAGTTAGGTCTGCTTTGAACACAACAGCTCACATTAACTGAACCAATAATTTAAACACTTAAGGGAAACTTAACAGTCTCACAAAATTTCTGCAGTCCTAAATAGCTGCACAAAACTTAAACAAGTTAGTCTAACTCCATCACATGCACATTATTTCTTACAGGTCATGAGTTCATTACTTTGAGACCACAAAGACTAAATATGTTATGCTAAATGTATGCAAACTCTGCTTCAGTACAAAGCACAATTCCCTAACAGGCACAGAAAATTATCTTTTTTGTTGTTGTTGGTTTTTGTTTCTTGGTTTTTTTTTTAAAAATGTTTATAAAGGTATTGTCCCATTTCAAAAAAAGATCAGTATTTCCAAGAGTTAACACTAACACATTTAACCAAGGATAAGCACTGCCCTCAAAACCCAATACATAATTCTAGTCCAATATGCATCTTGCATTTTTTAGCCTTAAGCAGAGTTTAGAAACTAATGCATTTTAGCATGAGGAAAAAAGCCTCTCAGAACACATTATAGCAGCCAGGAAAAGAATGCCCTTCAGCTTCCTTGCTCAAGAAGAACAGCAAACTGAATAATATTTTAGCAAAAATTACGACACAGTAATGGTAAGTTCTTTAAAACATCCCCTTTGTAGATCAAAACCACAAAAATTTATTCTTGCATGAAAACACAGCGGAATATATTTTAAACCTACCTTTACAGACTGTGAATTTGTATGCAACAGTTTACGGATCACCAAGAGCAAGCAATCAATTTCTTCTGTACGCTCGTGCACCTAGAACATATTATCCAAAATTTTATTTTCATTAATATATGATCTTCTTTTTGAAAATCTCTTCCTTTGCTACTCAAATAATGTTCTCAGTTACAAAAATAAAACAATTCACTTTTGCAGAAGAAAACACACGCTTTAAAACTATGCACATTAATCACGTTTTAAAATCCCAACACAGCTGTCCAGATGCCCAGAGCACACTTTGTGAAAACTATATGCTCCTATTAAGTCACGAAAATTGTAGAATGACTAGAAAATCAACTGTGAACTCTAGCCACTAGTTCTACCACATTTAACAATAACAGCTGAAGTGTTACTAAAGCTAGGTATGTCAATTGTACTGGTAAGATCACAAATAATCCAGACAGGGATTATGTTGGCCTGTCTAAAAGCTGAGCAAACTCAACAGATGCCGCTTATTCCCAATGGCTTCTAGCTACTACCAAAATACACAATTGCTTCCTAAAACATTCTTTTCCATCCAATTCTGTAGATACGTATCCTAGCACCTGACTTTTCTAACTGCTCCTTGCAGTTCAATTAATTTACAATCAATTACTTCTCAGCAGTATCAATAATGATCACATCCCTTACTTGAATTACAATTTAAATATATTAAGTGCAACAGCCTTTTCCAGAGCTCAAACTTCAAAGGTCAACATTCATCCATTGTAAAGTAATTAGGATATTGTAGCATACTGAGAAGACATATTCAACACTGCCCCATTAAGAAAATAATTTAGCTAAATCAGCTTTCAGGCTGACAGCAACATCTTGCTGTGAGAAGTCATGAATACGGGACCTAGATTTGTTTAGGTGTGTTCCCAAATGCCGCAGTCCTGTATGAGGGCTGGGACTTGCAATCAAGAAGGTGGTGGAGAACAAGTGGTTGTTAAAGTAGCTACTACTGGGTGAAGATCACAATCTGTGAGGTTGACATGGGGAAGAAAAGTGGCATACGGGGAACAGGATGGACTAGAAGTTCAGCTGGGGAAGCAAAAAGCACATATAGCCTTGAAAGCCTGGAGTGGCTGAAAGAATTGGTACAAGCTGGTATTATCAGTTCAAATTAGAGCACCCAAGCAAAGAAGGTTTTAAAAATCTCTGCATAAATCTGTTCTTTTCCATAAGGGGCCAGAAAATCTCACTCAATTTTTGTATCTAATTAATAATTTTTAAAACTAAAGGAATGATCTAATACTTCCCTATACCTGCATATTTTATTGTTAAACTTTTACAGCTTACCTCTAATCTGCATATCCCTATCTTTAATTGAAAAATGTTAAGGTTTGCAAGATTCTGCTAATATACTTGAGTGGTTTCAAATCTTTCCCATGAAGATAACTGGTACAATTCTTTAAGATTTGTGGTTTTTTTTCGGTTCTTCTGCCTATTTGAACCAAATCCCAAAGTTTCTTCATACGGAAGCAGCTATTTGCTCAATCCTTCCCAGGCTTTCAATGTGCCATTTCAAGTGCAGTTATAACAGCCTTCATTATCACTGAAATAGTCTAATGGTACACCAAGTACTGTCTCCATACTCCTCAAATATCCAAAAATTCAAGTCATTCTCAGCTACAATACCGTAACAGAATAAAAATTAAACCCAGTATTAAAAAACAAACAAAACAAATAAAACCAAAACCAACCAAAAAAACAAAACCCAACCTGTAAGTCCTCTTCTGTGTCACTACATCCCCAAGCGTTAAGTCCTACATCTTAGGTGTGGTTTGCATTCATAGTTTGTGTGAAAGCACAATTTCACATCTGAATATGCTTAACAGTTAAATACTGCTTACCACAAAAAATAATCATAGAAACATGTAAAAACTGTCATAATACAAAAAAAACCCCCTACAAGTATATTTTTCTTTAGCATTTCAGCGAAGTGACGGCAATAAAAATGAAGCCATGTGAGTGGGCTGTAAATCCAGCCAGAAGACAGAGAACTTTTAGAGGGCTATTTTATTTTTCAGGAGATCCCTGGAGAGTAAAGACTCTTTTCCAAGGTCAGCAATAACCAAGTGAGTAAAAACTAGCTGCCTCCTCCTAATAAGGATACAGTCTTGAAATCCACACAGTGGATTTCAGAAAACATTTCAAGGCACTCATATCAAAAGCTAACCACTCTCAAAATTCCTTTCCACACCCTCAGTTCTAAACTTTGTTGCTAAAAGGATCACCAAGATGAACCTGTTTCAGTAAGTGTTAGCTAGCTTAGACAACTTATACAAAGCATCTTTACAAGTAGATGTCTACATTTTTCTTTCTCTTGCATGGTAAGAGAGACAAAAGAGAAGGTTTTCTTAATATGAAATTTAAACTTATTTCCACCAACTTACCTCATCAATGAAAATATGCGTGAATTCAGCTAGGCTTTTGGCATGAACAATTTTCTGAAGAAGAACTCCAGCTGTCAGGTACAGCAACCTTGTCTCCTTTGTGGAAACGTTCTTTAAACTTACCTAACAAAGTGAGAAAAGTATTTAATGTATTACAGGAAAACGCATCTGAAAGAACTCCAAAATAAAATGTAGTGTAAACCCATCAAAATTATTCACTTCAACTTCACAGAATCACTTTGGTTGGAAAAGACCTCTAAGATCATGGAGTCCAACCTTTAACCCTACTCTACCAAATCCACCTCTAAGCCATATCCCCAACCACCATACCTACACAGCTTTTAAATACATCCAGGAATGGTGACTCAACCACCTCCCTGGGCAGCATGTTCTAATACCCAACAACCCTTTCAGTGACAAAGTTCTTCCTAATGTCCAGTCTAGACCTCCCCTAGTCAGTTAAAAATAAAAACCCCTCAGATCTGGAATCAGACAAAATTGGTTTTATGAGTAACAAAGAGAAAACATCAAACATAAATAAATGACACAATATGTAGAACATTTGGAAGTAACCTGGAGCTGCAGACCAGTGAAGAAAAAGAAAGCTGCAAATGCACGTTAGCAATATATATTTGACCCCAAATGGAAGAAAGAAAGAAACAACACAAATAAAGAATGAAGGAAGAAGAAAACAACATGTATTCCTCCCAGCAAAGGACTCCAGAAGCAGACAACCCTCCATGAACATCCTCCCACTGCCAACACCAGTGTGAACCAACCAGCCCTAGGACCCAAAGAAGCTAGTTCAGAGACAGCTACCGGTGAAACAATGATCACAGCAAATATGTTAATTAAGGAGAGTAAAAGGAAAAACAAGAGAATGCAGTTATCCCACAACAATTTCAATTATTAATAATATAGATATGTCCAATTATTAAAATACAGAGAATTAAATTTCTGTTGGAGTCTCATTAGCATTTACAGTTGTTCAACTTTAAAAAAATGTAAACATTTAATTATGAATGCTTAACAGGAGATAGTTAGAAACTTGCAATTCTATTTTAAAAGCAGATTGTCTCACATTTCTTCAGTATGCTAGATATGCTTAAAAGTAATCAAGAAAAAAGGTACAATACTATGTAATTTATTTTTAAATACAATTTGAAAAGTTCTTATACCTCGTATCCTACAAGACCACCCAGGGTCCATGATCGTTCCTTGCTAATCCACCTGGCAAGGCTGCTGGCACCAATTTTCCAAGGCTGGGCAACAGCAATGTTGCAGTAGATAGATTCCTGAATGCAATAATCCAAAACATACTGCGGAATCTGTGTGCTCTTACCACTGCCAGTTGCTCCTTGCACAATCACAACTGGATTGCTTTCTATCAGAGACAGTATCTGAAACAATTTTTCAAGAAAACTCGTAAGTCTACAAAACAATTCAAAACTTATTTCAAACAGATTTGAAGTATCCATAGCTTCCAGGCCAGATACCAAATCTGTTAAACACTGCCACATTTTCTATCATCTCCTAGGCATCTGTAGGTAACGGGACCCCTAGAACACATTAGAAGGTCACAGGAAAAAACACAGACATGCACTTCCATACTTTACATAAATACCTATAGTGTAACAGCAACATTTCTTCCTCGTAAGAATTTTTATATAATCATTTTGTACAATGTTTAAAACAGGAACAGAAGTTTCCTTCTGGAAGAAAACACCACAAATCAAGCAACCTACATAAAAAACCCAACCCAAAAACTCACCGAAACACAATTTTCAGCTTTACTCCCTAATGAGACAAAGTACAATGAAATTACCTCTTCCCTGTGTTTGGCTATAGGCATATCCACATTTTTAGGGTTAGCTGCCAATACAGAAGTACAGTCACTTGATTCACAAGGAGACAATGAAGTATCTAGGCATAAAAATAACCAAGAGTAAATTATTTCAACAGCAAAGGGGAAAGACCAGCAGAAGAATACAATCATAGTATTTGGAAACCTAACTTCTCTCAAATATGAATCTTAGGGGTATTAATAGAATTAATACTTTGTAATACTAGTAGATTGAAGAGATTTTCTGTATTCATACTATTTTACTGACAGGAGCTCTGAAAAACATTGCTTCTGTGTATAAGCTGCTGCCAGCGTCAAGAACTTATACAATTCTATAATTCTATGAATTTGAATCATAGAATATCTGGGCTGGAAGGGACCTCTAAAGGTCATCTAGTCCAACCACCCTGCTATATGCAGGGACTTCTCCAACTAGGTTGAGCTGCTCAGTCAGAGCCTCATCAAGCATGACCTTGAATGTCTCCAGGGATGGGGCCTCCACCACCTGTCTGGGCAACCTATTCCAGTGATCTATCACCCTCATACTGAAGAACTTTTTCCTAACATCTAGCCTAAATCTACCCTTTTCTAGCTTAAAGCCATTACCCCTCATCCTGTCACTCCAAACCCTTGTGAATAGACCCTCCCCTGCTTTCTTGTAGGCCCCTTTCAGGTACTAGAAGGTTGTTATAAGGTCCCAATTACAGAATTGTCTTTTAGTTAAAAATGGAGGGGCTTTGCACAGTTTGCATTACAACTGCCATATCTACCCCTTTTCCCAAGAATGTTCCTAACAACATGGAGAAAACATGCCTTATTCAAGTAGTCGTGGGTTGTTCCTCCTGTTGTTGCCTGTTGGATCCACAGCACAAAAATAACCCATCCGTTGATAAGAAGATCACTGTATTTCTACCACTTGGCAATTAATACATGTCTAGCAACTGTCATGACGACCTTTCAATGTGATGTTCTACAGTCTCTTGGAAGGAGCTAGTCACCATTATCACTGGGTGATACAGGACAAAAACCTTAAAAACCATGCTCCCATGAGTTTCAGGAACCTGCTGTCAGTTTGATGATGAAAACCAAAAGAGACTTAACAGGCATGGAGGCAGGTGTAGAAGGGGAAAACCAGGGCAAGACTCTGATAAGCAACAATTTTGCAAGTTACGATTAAACAATTTGGCTAAAAAAAACCCACTATAGATTCAAAAGTGGAAATGTTTTCCCTTTCAAATGGGTTTCACCAGGTACTATGGTAAAATTTATTTACTGGCACACAGATCATAAAGACTTCACTGTTCTTTATGTCATTCCTCTAAGAAGTGGGAAAGAAATCCAGTACTTTTTACAAAGGCAGTATTTACTGTAAAATAAAGGCTATAGCCTAAATATCTGACTGCAGAGTTACAGCTTCCTTTCTTTGGAAAGGTTACTAAAAATCTCACATAGCAGTGAAGCAGAAACAGGCAGAACAAATTCTTTTGTCTCTGAATGTGCTCCAGCCCCCTGAATTTTTTCAAGTGTCAAGGAATACAAAGTGAGTTATTCCCATATTAAAACAAAGCCCCAAAAGCTGGGTAGCTCATTAAGACAGTTTCATAAAGCATTAAAAACCAGAGGTCTCCTGAAGCCACGCTCTCCAACAGGAAACATTCTTTCACAACAGTTACATGTGATCACTGCACAGTGATTTACTCAGTGCTACTGAACACACTAAAACAGAACTTAATAGCAGCAACTCTTGAAAATATTAAATGTCCTCTTTAAAACACATTTGGTCAAGTTTCTAAATATATTCCCCAGGAATATTCATATATAGCGTTCTGTCACAGCAACACTGCACAAAGGCTGACTGGCTTCCCTCTGGCACAAACATGTCACTACTGAGCCATCAGTAGCTCTGCATAATTTGACCAGTGCTGGAAGAAATCTCAAGCTGCTAGGGAAAAGATCCCAGTGTCAGCATATTCCTAAAGCAACACAGCCTTCCCGCCTCTATCAGGTTTCCCATGTAGCAACTGCAATTTTGAAAAAATGTGTTAAAATTATAGAACAGAAGATGGCAGCAATTCTAGAACAGTGCTTATAAAAAGAACGGAGGGAAAAAAAAATTTAAATGGTACAATTAACTCAGTAAAGACCCAGTACATTAATAAGAAACCATTAACCTAAAATTCAGTTAAGAATTTTATTTTAAAAATACAAAGGAACAAACAAGAAACAACCACCAGTATTCATGCATCTGCTGAATAATCAAATCAATGTAATGTTTTTCTTTTTTTCATTGACAAAATCTAACTTCTTTTATATTGTGTAATTGTGACAGTTCTGTGACACCAATATCTTACCTTCTCCTAAGCATAGAAGTTTAGAAAAAAATTATACCAAAAGTAAATAGTCACCAAATGTTAGCCACCATCAATATGCAGCATTTGAGAACTGGCAGCCATAGAAGCATTTAGTAGATGCTGCAAGTACTAAAAACTGTACTGTCTGGTTTTTCTCTTCAAGATCTGTACCCTGTGCTTAAACTGAAAGAAACGTTACAGTTTGCCTGGGGAACTAATACCAGACAACTCTGGGACTTCTGTCTCTAGCAGACAGAGCAGTCTGGGGCCCCAGAGTAAACTGGCAACTTCAGATGAATGCTGACGTGACCCAAGCAGCACTAGGAATTTGGGTAATCATCTTTGAAAGTTTAAGGTCTTCTCTTTTTTTTTTTTTTTTTTTTTAAAATGAAATGTGTTCTGAACAAGGTAGACTCACTGCAGAATATATTGCATATTTGAATATAAACCCCTTTGAAGGCTCCAAGGTTATTCTACTCATTTAAATGACCATTCAACTGTAGACTCTATATCACAAATGTGATCACCTGCAACTCTTGCTGTTTGGGTTTGGTTTTTTGTTTTGATTTTTTTTTTTTTTTGTTGGGGTTTCTTTAAACGTGTATTTATGTAATAAATCCTAAACCTAATGGTCTTTAGACAAACACATCCCTTTTCCAAATACAGAGACATCTACAAATTCAAGGCGGTACAGGTCTATACACTTAGCAGGAAGCAAGGCACAAAGTTCCATTTTTTTAATTGATCATACTTTCTGGAAAGCATTACTAGGACTGGGACAATGAATCCTACCAGTGCACACCTTTGTAAGACAAAATATTTCCAACTATAGGAAGCATAAATGCCAATACAGAGTAAGTAATGATACTAATTTCACTACTTAGAGTCAGTGCAAAGAAAAAGAGAGAGCTCAGTTATAGGAAAGATGAATTTGTCTGCTCACTTCCTTTTCAATTATTATTAAAGTTCTGTGGAGATATGATGATTGTCATGACTAAAACTGTCTACTGCCCATGGAAAGAGCAATTTTCCAATATCTCAGTTACTATAGCCCATATACCAGATGCATTCCTTCTGGTATCTGTTTCCTGAATTGAATTTTAATAGATCCTTTAACACAAGATTAGATTTTTGTATTCACCAGTTCTGAGAGAAGAGACTGTAGAGCTGGATCATGGTATCTGCCACTAAGCAAATTAAAGTGAGATGCATTAAAAAAATATACTTGAAAGTACTGATTTAGTGAGTCATATGAGATACTTAACTGTGTCACTGTTCATTCTCCTGCGGGGCTACAAACACACAAAGTGATTAGAACAAGCAAGCAAGCTCATGTGAAAGGAAAGCCACAGGAAACAACTAGGGTCCTGCACTGAGCCACAAAGCATAAAGACTTCGCAGTAAGTCATGCTACTTCAGTCATAACCCAAAGTACACAAAGTTGATGCTGACTAAGCCCTGAAGAACTTAATCCAGAGCCTGGGCAAAGTGATTATTCTTTCTGGCAGGGGAAAATGAGCTAAGAATTTTCTGTATCTCAAAGAGCCAACTGCTGAAAGATGCCCCCAGGTAACATTAGAATTCCTAAGAAAATGTCACAAGTAATTAGACTTTGCTCATGAGACTTCTGTTCGCCATTGCAATCCTCTTCAACTTGCACATATGTCAAATACAAAAGGTTTCAGGGTGAAGATCTGTTGTGTGATTGACTTTCCCCACATGTATCTGTTCTGAACCTAAAACATTTAAAGAACTCTGTAATTTAGAGGTTTTTTTATGGCCAAAAGCTAACTAGAAACAATGCTTAAATGGCTTCTTCTCTGTAAGCAGTTACTTCACGTGGGATCTAGAAGATCCCCAGAAGAGAGCCTTTTAATAGTGTGAAAATAATTAAGATAGAAGAGGAAAAAAACCTGCCATCCACAAAGCTGCATCAAAGTAATTATATAAGTGCCCTTTAAAAAAAAAAGGGGGGGGGGAACTTAAAGATTTTAGAAGATTTCTTAAGATTCAAACTCTTAGTGCATACAGTTTACAATATCTAGATTTGGGAACAAAAAAAAAAAAATTATCTATTCTCCATAGGATGCTTAAGGTGAGAAAGTGTCTGATACACTCTCACTGAGGGAAACTGAGGTTTTCCTCAGCAAAACACTTCATGATCTCAGTAAATCAAAGGGGTGTGTCAAGTCCCAGTCTGCAACAGTCAGTTCCAGCTGTAAAATGGGTCTGATGTGCCAGGGAACAAGAACTGTTAATGCTCTACTTGTTTTTGTTAACAGTTGTGATGAAGTATTCTCTTCTGCTTTTACTCAATCACTTCAAGTTCTTTTTCACAGCAACATAATTTCTACCATGTCCTGTAGAAGACAGAACTCCAAATTCAGTTTCATGATGATCTGTTTTCCTGACAGAGCAGCAGATTTGGTATTTCTATTGGTCCTCGTGGTATAAAAGCATATACTCTTTCAAATAAATTGGAAAGCACAAAATTTGAACTCAGCAGAACTTCAGAGAACACCAAGGCACAAGCAATCACCACAGAAGTTACAGCAGCTCTGCAAGATTTAAAATTGACTGTCGATTTAAAAAGAAGATATCATCTACAGTTAGAACAGCAATTTAGAAAGAAAGAAAGAAGCAACAGAAAGGGTACCAACTCTGAAACCTTCAGGGCAAATCAACTTCTCATTTCCATGTTGTGCAGCTTTTTTATTGACTACACTTGTACTCAACAGAGCTAGAGTGGTAGGGCTCAGTCTAGCTAAATCCCTGGATCATTTATAACAACTTTCATGTTCTTAAATAGAACAAGCATTTCCAGACTGATGTAGCCAACAGTTACAAATGGGTCTTCGAAGCTCTTAAAATCTGCATGATGAACATACTACTGTTTGAGGATAGTAGTCTCATTAACAACACACACATTTATAATCCATAAAATGAACATTACAAATCCCATGCTCACTCATTGAGCCGCTTTATTATATTGCTGATACAAAATATTCCCGAATTTGTCTGTAAGTCAAAGCTGACAGCAATATAAACCAGGACTCGCTGAAGTTTTTGTGTTATTCTACATCTAGGTGGGATTTGGCAGCTCAGTCTCAGGATGTGGTAGGAATCTTCCAATCCATCACTATCCAGACTACTGGAATTCCCCCCCCTGGATCACACACAGCTGGGGGCAGAGCACTGACCAGAGCAATCAGACATCAACACCACATGAAAGCTCCTAGGGCAATTGAGACTCCAGACCAGGACACAGAAAAAGTAGGAAGATGAAGAGGGTGGAAATAGGACAGAGGGAAAAAAATCTAAAAGATTAATAATAAGAGAGTATATATATGCTAACGTTTTGGCAATTTTTTTAAGGTTGTTTGCTAATCCAATGCTATTTAAGTGGGTTACAAATGGAAGGCAAGAATACATATTAGAAGGTATAAATTTCAAGGACAAACATCTAAGGGAAAACAGGTGTTTATACAGTGCTGGGATGACTACGCAGAAATATTTCCTAAAATGCCAAAGTTGAAACCGTGTTCCTTTTACAGGAGGAGCATTGCTAGCATCAGTTTCATTCAAAATTAAGCAGGCCACCAGTGCTGCTACATTAAGTTGAAGTTGCTAGCCTACCTCAGGCAGAATTGTGATCTAATAGCTGAAGAATACTAAATGATCTACGGTATCTCCTTGAAATAATCAATACCCCTATAATTCCAAAGAAAAATCTAAGGAACTTATGTTTAGACAACTTCTTGCTGTCCCTCCTTTGCAAGTAAAGCACATGAAAAACTAGGCAACAGCAAGTTCCTCAACTACAACATCCAAAGCTTCTTTCAGTCCCTTTATTCCCCCATTTTCACCTTTCAGTACCTCCTCCTCTCCTACAAATTTTATGTAACGTCAAGTGAACAAGAGACATTATTTTGCAGTTAGGACCGATGGTGAAATGCACAGCACATGCTAGACAGGTCAACTACACCTACTGTCTCTCTCAGCCAATGATAGCCCAAACAAATGGTGTCATCACCAACCCGAGTTCCAGAGGTCATATAATTTGCAGAAGCATTGAGGGATATTAATTTTTAGAAAACTTCTCAATTTGTCAGATTTTGTTCTATCAGCAAAGGGATACAAAAAGTATTACAGAGAATGACATGCAGAACAGACAAAACAGATAAATATCCTTTTCTTGGGATATCAGCTACATTAACAAATTTGAAAATTAAGAGCCACACTAATAATTTGAGGCTGAGCTGTCCTGACAAGTGAGTCATCAGCCTTATACTGCTTTTACCAGAGCTCCTAGGAAAGAAGTGCAACCAAATTTCTCCCTAAAAGCAATTCAAAGCAACAGTCAAGTACATACAGAAATAACATGGATACAAACTGAGAAAGACATTATTCTAGACTGGTATATTTTCCTTACAGATATATTTCAATCATGTATCTGCATTTATCAATAATCTAGATGTATGCACATCTCTGTGCAACAGCATTATACACCGCAGTTTCCAGTAAATAAACTGGTTATTTTTTAATACCATACCTCATGGAAAACAAACAAATAGCCATATAAGATATTAAACAAGCAAGAAATACACCATTAGTTTTCATGGTTTTGTTCGGGGAAGGAGCTGGGAGGAAAGACCAGAGGGATGAAAAGGAGAGGTGTAACTGAGTTTATAATAGGAACCAAATACATATTTTTGGGGTTTACCTGTTTTATAGACAAGCTGATCATTTCCAACAACATCAAGGTCTTGTGACTCCACTTGTCTGTATTCTTCACTATATTCAGTTTCAACTCTCTCTGTGGTAGGCATCCTGAAGAGGAAAGAAAGGACAAATCAATAAATGGTTCCTGATCCAAGTCATGGGTATACCCCTAGGAATAGAACAGCATTATGCAGTATGTTCAGTGTCTCCAAGTCACGCAAGAACGACCTCAATGCACAAACTTCAGAAATAAACTTTGTCTCTGCAGTTAGATTCCTCTGCCGGAGGAAAGTGCCACATTGAATCTTTTTGTTTAGATCAAAAAAAAACCGAGCTCCAAAAATATCATCCTTTAAGTTTTTAATACCTAGGAATTTCTCTCCTAACAAAAATCTACTATTTCTTCTGCACAAAGATGAAATAACTCTGTTTCACCAAATCTTGACACAGTTCAGCTAAGAAAATACATGTAATTCTTGCAAAGTTCCTTGAAGACACAGGAAGCAGACAGGAGTAAATGCAGTCACCTCACTGCTTTATGGAAAGAACTTTTGTCTTTGAGCAAAGAGATGATGGTGACCAGGGAAAATATAAATTAATACAATCACCCTATTAGTGAATTTTATGGGAATTTACTACACACAAGACAAAGTCTAACCGTGACATAAACAGAATTAAATGGGATTTAAAAAATTATCTTCTGCGTAAACAGTGCAAAGAAAGCCACATGGATTTCACCAGGGAATAAAGTAGCATATATACTATGATTATTAAATGATAAATGAACTTAGATGCAGGAGAGTTTTGGACACATCAAAAGCACCCTTTATTAAAAAAACCCCAACAACTAGAAATCAAAACTACTTTTTTGCACTTTAAACTCTGGGCTGTGTGCAAGCTTCTGCTATGCAATAATTTTCTAATTCAGAGTAAATCTGTTTCTCTGGAGGTATATGTTTGAGACATTTTGTACAAGGATACTGCTGCAGGTGTGTTTATTTCTTGACCCAAACAATAACGAACTCCAACTCAAAAAATAATTAAGCTGAAAACAAGAGATTTTTAACATGGCACTATGTTGCACAGCTCTCATCACAGAGTAACTCAGGATATCTTGCTGCCGCAGAGCACCCACCTTCTGTGACAAGACAAACTCTGTGCCACTTTAGCTCTGCTACAGACCACTCATCCATCTCAGGCAGTACTGCCTTCTACAGGAAACACTAAGTATTTATCACCTACTGCTGTCAACAAGCCAAGAAATGGCTTATCCTATTTAAACAATATTTTAGGCATAAAGCTAAAGCAATTTTTCCCTTGATCTCAGGAAATACCGAATGGAATACTCAGATACTTCCTCCAAGCATCCCAGTGCAGGCTTAAATGGGATTTTCTATCACTGACTCTTCTGAACCAACTAGGCTGTTTCAGACTCCATAACAGGTCTGAATCCAAGGTATAATTCAAAAATGTACACTCACATCCATGTCAGACCACTTGTTGAGTAGATTATTCCACTAAATGTACATTAAACACAAGCAAAATCCCCAAATAAAATGAAAGTAACAAAGTCAAAAATTCAGTAGTTGAAAATAACATAATCGAGCTTTGCTACACAACCTCAATTTGTCAACACTGTATGCTACAGATTTTAGTGACAAAATTATTTTTCATTTCCAAAAGACTGCAGCCTCACCAAGTGCACTGGACATATATCTTCAGAACCAAAAGCTGATTATGCAATAAATACAACTTGTCCTTCAGTCGTCCGCAAGAAAAAAAGCCACCTGCTTAAGACAGTAAATGCTGTCATGTAGGAGCAGGTATTACTGGACTGTCAGAGCCCCGAGCTACAGCAAGCAAATCACTTCGACACAATACTTCTACTGAGGAGCAGGGGCTAAGGGTAAGAAAGCTAGGACTGTGTTCCTCCTTTGCTGTAAAGACCTTGCAGAAGCATCAGTATTTAACCACCAGCTGAAGTCAACTAAGATACAGTTTTCCATAGTAGCAGACAGAGTCAACTAAATGCTGCTAGAGATGGAGTATTAAGCATTTCAAAATGGCTCACAGAAGTCTCTATTTGTTTTGACCTCTGCCTCTACAGCTGCAGGAAAATGAGGATGGTATGACCTCAGTGATTTGTGAGAATACATTAGGGTTTTTTGTTTGTATATCTGGATATTTTCTTTCATAAATTAGGTTTTCTGTCTTCAAACAGCATGCAGTAAATAAACCTCAGGCTACACAATGAATAAAGAAAATATTTAATAGCCAGTCATTAAGAATGAACATTGCTCACTCAATGCACCAAATCAGGCTACAGTCTCGGGGGAAAACCTTATGCAATTGGAAAATTGCATATGGTTGTATGAAATGAACAAACAACCTTCATTACAGCATTCCTCAGTGTTTCAATGCTGAACTTTGCAGCTTTAATAAAATTAAAAGCTTAGAGAATAATGGGCGGTTTGTAAAAGCAAAATGGGAAAAAAAAAAACAAACCATATGAAGCCCCCTGCTGCTCTCCTAAGTCAACAGGACAAAACAACCCTTCCAAGTAATCACTAATAAGTCATCAGTAAGAGGTATCATCCTGTGTATACCTGGACAAACCGGAAGGGATGAAACATTCCTCTAGTGAGTTTCAACAAACATTTGCTGACAGCAGACTAATGACAAGACTCAGAAAATTCAAACCCATTCCAGAGGAGGACAGGACAACAATAATGAAGGGACTTTTCTGGACTTTATACTTACAGAGCATGTGTCTGTCTGATACACTAGTTATCTCTTCCTGATTTCTATTCCATCTGACAGAGTGAATAGTTACTTTTCAGTACTCCTGCCCTGTTAGCGCACATATTCCTTGGACTTTCCTGATTCCAGCCTTGGCACTTACCTACTTCTATACTCCCCTGGCTATTTGGCAAGTAAGTTTTCAGCTGCACATATTAAACACATTCAGAATTTTACCAATTCAAGAGGCAGTAAAACATTGTTTTTGTGACTAACACAATTACTGAAAATTTAAAAGTCATCAATTTAAGGAAACACAGGAGACACTAGATGTTGTTTTTAATTCATTTCACCACATTAAAAAAAAAAGGCTAGAGTTTAATCTTATTGAGATCAAGGGCACGTTTCATCCTCAAATGTGGACAGATTTCTGTGGCTGAACCTGCAAACATAAGACATTATATTCACCCCAAGTGGACGAAGGTATACAAAATCATAAAGCACCAAACACAATCTATCAGTAACATCACCCACAACAACTAACTCTTGGTGCGTCCTAACATCTGTAAAACGTGACGTCAGCTACCTATGAAGGTGCACACATCTCAAGACCTACCTATTTTGGAAGATACTCTCAGAAGTAGCAGTCATGAGAACTTGGAGCCTGAGAAGCAGTGGCCAGGAAGAGAATTTCTACGCAAGCAAGAGTTAAAATACAGCACACTTCTTCTGGGAGAAGAATTAACACTGTTTCTTACAGGTTATTTTCCTTATTCATCACCGTGTAGTTTAATTATTATTACATTTTTCTGAAGTGTGACTATTCTTGGTATATGTGGCTACCTAAACAAATTTTGAGCATTTGACTGAGACAAAATCTTTTAAAATATTTCTTATTTGGGTCTAAAGAAAAATTCAGTGTTCTAAACATAAAAGTAAATACAGTTGCCACTTCAGGGGAATTACTAGGAGGCAAACACAGTTTAACACCAGAAATCCTTCACACATCTACTTGCAAATGCTTTCAAATACACTGAGAGTGCCTTCCTTTAAATAAATTCAGACAGAGAAAGGTCTTCTTTTCTTCAAGCTATAGAATGACCTCTAATAAGTCAACAAGGCCATTGTAACAGAGTACACTTGGTAATTTTTTTTATACTTTGAGCATCTGAAATATTAACCAAAGCATTTCTGCATACACTTACTTATCAAAAATATTATCAATTGCACAATCTCAACCATAACTGCGACAAGTCATTTGTTTGGCTCTTTTCAGTGACATATACTACAATGACAGTGCATACACCCAACATAGTGAATGCTTCTAGAAGCAGTGCTGAAAAAGCACTGTATTCAAGAAACAGATACATACAGTCTCTTACTTTTACACTGCTTATGCAGCAAACCCGACTGTATAAAAAAAAATATTCAAGTATGCAATACAATTCCAAGGATTAAGATGCTTGCCTACCCAATTTCAGATAAATTTCTATTAACTATTTAGTTTTGGGATAGAAGCTCCTATTTAAGGCTATGTAACTTTAAAAGCATTTCCATCTTGGAGGCAAAAAACAAAAATGGAAGTGCTCTAGGGCTGTGTTTTAAAAAACTCTTATAGACATACTTTTTGCTTACATATGTTCTGCCGCATTTGACAAAACAAAATCCCTACTCACATGGGACTGGGAGTTAAACATAAAGCTATGGATACTCATTTCACGATCACACGAGAAGGACTGGCCTAAGTCACAGATTCTAGCACACATCCACGCTGTCTGCCTACTTAGAGATCTTTGCAGGGGGAATCACTTGAAAAAAATATTTAGCATTATAGAATACAGAGCAGTGTTTTGCTGTACAACTTTAGTATGATATACACAGTAGGCTGTTTCAAAGCCTCTTTTCTGAGACTAAAGTAATGTGACACTTTACATAACTAAACATTTGCCACAACAAAAAATAACCTTCCACTGGGTTTACTAAAGGACATGCAAAAAATTTCCTTTAACTGGCAGCTGCTGTTTCATACTTTTAGAAGATGGGTCTTACCTGCGGAAATACACTAACTTTGAAGAAATAATGTACTGTCATTCAAAACCCATGTTCCAGTCACAAAAATAGAAGATTATTAATAGAATTTTTAATAAGTGAAATCTATTAAATACTAAAATACAGATTTTACAAAATTATTTACAGATTGCTATCTAAATCTAAGAATCAATGAGGTGCATGCTTTTTCTCCACTCAAGAGAGCTGTTTGAAAGCGTAATTAGCTAGATTTAGTCTTTAGTGAGACAAAGTCTTCACATATAGGTATCTTAAAAACTTGCACTGCTCTTCCTCCCAGAAGTTATTCACAGCTCCTGTTTTAAAACCTTAACTGGGTGGAGAGGGGGAGAGGGAGAGAGTGAGGGTGGGCTCTGCTTTGCAAAGTCCTGAAAAACTCAGATGCAAAAATTTGGATTTGGAAAGTCTATATACATTCAACATCTCAGAAATATTTATTCTATGCCAAACCAACAGCTTTGTAAGACCTTTCATCTTCCACCTTACCCACAGTTAAAATCTAAGAAAAACAACCACAAATACCAGGATGAAAGAGCCCAAATTCCCAGATTTACTGCCTACTGCTTTGGGATTTTATGCCAGTGGGAGAGACTGAGATAAACTCCTGGGCTTCAAAGAAATGGACTCTCTTTGGAGATGAACTGCTGAGGAGCTCCTCTTTCTGCAGCCACAGCTCAAACAGGGATGTTTGGAAGAGGGCAGCTATTACCTGTGGCAGATAGTGACAAACCACACACCAACTAGCTCTCTAACACACATGAAACAGCTGACTTTGTAAATTGTTTTTATAATTAGTTATGAATTAGAAGTTAGATGAGTATCCATCTTTATTATCTTAAACCAAAAGCGCAGTTCTTCAATCATTTTCTGATCCTTCAGCAACTATTACAATGCATCTAGACTCACTAAAACTTTGAAATTAATTTCTTCTCCCTAACCACAAGGGACTCTGCCAAATAGCAAAAAATAATAAAAATACCCCATATAACAAGAAAATTAAAATACATGAAAAAACATGCATTTGGGTATCAACCTGGTAAAATCCAGCTTAAACCTCTGAACAGAACAATGCAAGTAAGAGACAGTGCCGAATCAAAAAATGCCCATGAAGACTAGTATCAAATGCAAGATCCCCTCAATTTCAAACTGACACGTGTAATGCCTATTAGTGAAGCACCAGAAACATTAATGCTACAGACAGCCCAAGTGGAAGAAATCAGCTTCAAACACATCCTGATTTTATTCATCACAGCAACAGAAATACAACAATAGCTTATACTACTTTCTATCAGTTAATACTTAAAAGAGAATTATTACCGCTGTTAGCTGTCACAGCAAAGGACCAAAGAAGCTGAGAGGCCTCTCGTGTAGGCTCATGGCAAGCTTTGCTCTTAGCTGTTCAAAAGCAAGAGCTGTAGTCAAACACTGTCTGAAGTGATCAGAGAAGATAGACTCCCCATCTGTCTGCAGCCTGTAACAGCTACAGTGAGTTGTTCTGCCAAATCAAAAGAAAAATACACTGTAAAGTTGATAATTAAATCTAAAGAGTGGGGCTGCATTTATAGATGGAAGCAAATCAGCCCATCTGCTAGCTATGGATAGGTACAAAACTGAAGTCTCACTTTTCTCAGGTGACTGGTACCACTGGTTACCTTTCGATGTAACTGTTCTGGGGCTACCTGGGATAGAGTTCATTTTCTTCATAGCAGCTCTATGACTGGTGTTTTAGATTTGTGAAAACAATAATCCTACACCACAGATGTTTTAGTTGTTGCTGAGTGGTGTTTGCACAGCATCAAGGCCTTCTCCCTTTCTCACACGGCACCCCCGTGCTCCCCCCTGTGCAGAGACTGGGGAGCATACAAGGGGTTGGCAGTGGGCACAACCAGGCAGATAACCCAAACCAACCAAAGAGATACTCCAGCCAGGTACTATTATGCTCAGAAATAAAAAGGGTCAAGAGGGAGGTTTCCCCTGGATTTTCCATCTATTGCTCAGGATCTGGCTGGTCATCAGTCTGCCTGTGGGAGGTGGTGTGCAACAGCCTTTACATCGCTTGCTTTGTTCTCTTCTTCCACTTCAACAGTTCTTATCTGGACTTCACGTTTCCTTACTCTTCCATTCCCCTTCCCTCATCCCACTGGCAGGGGGAGTGGGAGCAGGGAGGTAAGCAAGGGGCTGCATGGCGCTTAGCTGCTTACTAGGCTTAACACACAACAACAAAGTATCAGCCCTTCACACAAAATTCAAGGCAGAAAACCACAGTATGTGACTATAACCCACAGATGCTAACAAAGAACTATGGAACATACTCCACCATGCCAGTGGGTTGAAATGTTAGCCAGTTAGCAATGGTTATGACCTGCTATTAACACTTTTGGTCAAATAAGAATTATGAAGACAACTTCTTGGTGTGTCATTACAAGTCTCACTCCTGAAGAGAGCTATACTTCTTGACTCTTACAGTTGCAAGTCAGTAGCATCTCAGGTGGTACAGATGCCATAAAATCTTCCAAAGTAAAGAATAAGAAGCTTCTCCTCCACCTTTGCTCACCATTTGTCACAACTTGTTGCTTTCTGTCAAAAAAAAAAAAAAAGTGTGTTTCCAAAAGTACATTCAATCAGCACAAACAAGTACTGAATCTGTAGTTCTGACAAGCCCCAGGTTTAACTGGGGGCTTTTTTATTACAAGAACTGATGATCAGTTTAGGAGGCTCCTTTGCATATGGGATGTTAAGACACACATGCTTTTTCCTCCCAGAATACAGGTACAGAACAATATTTGTTCACAAGAGACCACTATTCTGTAGGGATTAGCTGTTTCTCCAGTACTTTTATTCTTTATGAGAATTTCAGATTTTCCAAGAATGAAAAGCCTGTCTTAAGAATATGTCTTATGCATTAGAGCAAATTATTGCAGTAACACTGAAAAATCATATTTAATATTCTGATTAACCACACATCATTTAAATATATAAGTTGCCTGTGCTGAACAGATTATTTTAATATATTTTTTTTACAAAAATAGCTTTCATGAGATTTCAGAAAGCATGTAGATGATAAAATAAACATCTTCTGTCACCTCTTTTTAGCAAAAAAATATACCTTGCCATGAACAGTGCCATCTTCTAAAGCAGCATGTATTAAGGTTAACTATGATGATTTTCAATGAAGGATCCACTTTTCCTCTAGTATAAGTAGTGTTACAGACACTTCCTGTAAACATCCACAAAACTACCTCTCTGTTACTCTTTAAGTACTCCTTCGCTATTGTATCAAGAAAGGTATATTCATGTATATTCAGCACCCTCAGAGCATATCCCAGGTTGATTCATTCTGTTTCCCTGGGTTAAGTTTTAGCTACTTGAATCCCCATGTTGTTGGGTGCACTTGCATCACCAGAGTACATAAAAATTCTTACTCTCTAGTTGTGCTGTGCCTTCAGCATAGAGCTGAGGGCTCCTACTTTGTAACATATGAAGTTGTAACAGCATTGACAATAGCCGTTTCCAAGTTTTAACCCTGAAGAAAACTAAGCAATACTTCTATTTAAGTAAATGCTAAAACTCTGCGACCTCACATCAGTTACTTGATTCCATAATATCTTCTTCACTGAGTTTCCCTTCACAATTGTGACATCAAACAGGAAGAAGAAAAAGAGAAATTGCCAGAACTGATGAGAATTTGTGAGTGAGTACCAGACACATTCAGATTAAAGATTAGAGCCATGAACTGCACTTCATCATCTTTACACCAAGCCACACGCTGAAACTGAGTTTTCATAGCAAGTTCTAGGTTTAGATTCATCTCCTCAGTACAAAACATACCCAGAACACAACTGCCGCCATGGACGCAGCCCTGCGTTAGGAGGAATTCTTTAAAGATATCATACTAATATCACAACAAGTTGACACTCCTTTCTCCTCAGCCAAGCAAGAAGTAGTAACAGACTCCCTAAATATGCCTCCTACTAATCGGAATGAATCAAGCAGTAAATGGAACGGTGCCTCACATGTAATTTAAGGGTAAAAGGAAATAATAAAGAGAGCATATGGTCCCAGTAGGAATTGTTCTGCCACATGGACCAGGGTATGCTCGTTATTCTAACTGGTGATCCACAGTCTGTCACTATGATGATCACCTTCTAAACTAGAGGCTGTGTCTATGTTTACTGAAGTCAGCAGGGAAAACCCCCTACACCTTTCAATATTAATCTATTCTAATTTCATGCAAATTATGCTCACTTTGTGTACTCTTGTAACTATGGGAACATAAGTTAAGCTACCTCAATGACTTCTCACTCCTGTATTTGTAAGCCAAACAGCTAAAAGCCATTGGGAAACCAGATACATCCACGTAATCCACAGGAAATCAAGGCAGAATCACTACTGCAGAGATGCAGTATTTGGATGGCTGTGTCATTCCATGTGTGGTTGTTTTCACTCATCCGTACTGATGCAAAAGTTTAATGACCTTATAGACGAGCTCTGCCGTGCAAACCTCTATTTTAGATTGCCTAGCTCTCTTCAACCCCTCTTAAGGTGTAGCATTTATTCTTCACACGGTCTGAAGGCACAGGAGATACATCTAGTTGCCTGGCCATGCAATCAGAACTTCTCCACAGGCCTCCATTTCTACTGTTACTTGAGAAAAAGGCTCCTGAGAAGTACATGAGTATTTTACTTCCATAGCTAGACTAATCTGCAGTGGAAACCATACACACAATGCAATACAATCATTTACTTATTGCTAATGGAACTGCTAGAAGTATTCTGTACTCTCTCATGGGAAGAGGAAAAATTAGATGTTCCTTTTTCCTCCTCCTCTCGTCTAACATCTCCACAAGCCAGTTTACAGTCTCCTAGCCAGCTAAGTAAGAAACATCTTTGTAAACTGGTAGAATTGGCCATTAGTTCAAAAAGTAAGAACAGTTTGATGTGAACCTCCCATTCATTTGGAAATTATTAATAAAAACAAACTTACAAATGCCTTCAGGGAACAGACCCATTACCAGCTGAAGTCAAGCCAAAACTTCTACCCTGACACAGAACTACAAAACCAGTGGTATATTTAGGGACAGCTGGACAAATTGTAACTCTCCACAAAGCTTCTAGCTCTAACCATTGGCTAGCAACTACATAAAATACTGCTCTACTTTTATGTTCCAGTTCCCAATGCCAGCCTCACGTGAGCAGTCATCTCTGAATGCAGATCTGAGATGCATACAGAAGTAGAAGCAATACAAATTCTCAGCTTTAACGTTCTCCTACCAATGGAAAGCTAAGTATCATGCTAAGTATCCTGACTCACAACATTTCATGATACAATCAAAGATTATGTAACAAAAACACGTGCAAAAAAAAAAAATGTGGGCTTCTCATTTAATTAACTTGCACACCTTCCAGTATGCATCACTAATTTACAAAGACACTACAACGCGTTTACACTGTACAGCAGCTTACTTTCAGATTTGATACAGTGGAAGAAAAGTGTTGACATGTTAACTGTGCTGTATAGGAGGTGGCAAGGAGCATTTTAATTTCATCTGAAAATCTGTCAGGACAGTTCTGTCATCATAAACCTAGCTCCCTTCCTTTTTCATAGTACCACATACAATGCAATGTGAAAACCTTCCAGTTGAAGAGGATTAATGCTGACATTCGAATTTTTCCAATGTATAAGTAATATCAGCTTTAATAACAGCCATACACGTCACCCTTTATGTTGTGTGACATCTAGAACAAATGTAAAGAACCTTTGTTCTCCCAACAGTTCGACACACCAGTGGAGGCAAAAAAGTAGGAATGAGAAATACTTAGAGGAGCGAAGACAGTCATTAGAACAAAGAGCAGAAGAGAAGGCATTCTGTACACTACGCCTACTGTTTAGATTAATAGGAAGAGACCAGATAACTGGAACGGAAAATGGCTGCTTCAGCGACCTTTACTGTGCACAATGCCATCCCCGAAAACACATCCTAGAAATGGATATCCTCAAAGCACTCACCAAGGGAAGAGGGAGCAGGCAACTGACAGCCAGCTGAGAGAGAAGCGAAGTCTATGGTAAGACTTACAATTTGGGCATTTTTAGATCAGTCTGACCTCAGTTTGCATCTCCTTATCATTCCAGTCCTTTAATTAGTTTTATGTGTTTTCATGGCACCCCATAGGTGTAACAGACAGGCTTAAACATATTTGAAACGTTAATTGAAAATGTTAACAGCTATGCACAGTAATGAAAAAGGATAATACCGTGAGATGTATGTAATTCATCTGGAAGAAGTATTTAATATAGCAACAAAACCCTGAGCAGCTGTCAAATAGCTCTTTTCTGTCAACACTCACTTAACAAAGGTTTTAGATGATCTTTACTAGAGAAAGACTATTCTTAGCTGTTTAAAAAATGACAGTAGAACAGACTGATCCCCCTCTAATGGGAGAAAAGTCTTCTAGCATCTCAATGGCCTGAAAGTTGAGTTTGATGATAAAAGCAACATAGTTATTTTTAGCACTCTACAGTCATAAAAATACAGCTCTAAACTGTGACCTACAGCTATGCACAGCCGAGCATCACATCACACGACAGCCTTAACTTTAGCTAGAAGCACGTCTGTAGTTGCTTCAGACTACCATTATTCATCTCCCTATCAACAATACCTTTGGATGAATTTAGCAACAAGCATTTGAAATTGTTACCATCTCTTTTTAAATTGCTGCCATCGGCAGAACTCAATTCAAAGGTAGGAGATCTTAATGGACGTTGAAGAAAGTATTTGAGACCATGTTAGGTTAAATGGATTATTGCTTCCATCTGGTACAGAGGATGAAAAAGTACCTTAAAAGCAGAAAAACTTAAACTGTCATATTCAGTACAGAAAGTCATTTTTCTAAGCACAGTTTGAGTAAATGAAAAAAAAAAAAAAGAAAAAAAGAAAAAATCTTGTTTTCTTCCAACAGTGGCAACAGCCTGAAAACGGGATATGCCAGAATAAGAGACCTTCAAGCAAATTCACCAGAAACACTGTTCACACACAACTGCAAAGGTAATTTATATTATTTCATTCCAGGTCTGCATTATTTGTAACAAACAGCAATTTAGAAGCATAAGCCACCAGATTTCTGGTTTCAGGTTATGTAAAGAAGAATTTACTTAAAATAAAAATTGATACAGAAGATTTAAAGATAGATCCTGCAGAATTTCAGCACTTAACTTTTATTTAGTAACTTTTAAAATGCACAGGTAACTTCAAATTTTGGAGCTTTGGGGGTTTGTGTTTTGCAGGCTTTTTTTTTTGTTATTTCTTTCTAGCTTGGTGTTGTTTTGTTTGGTTTGGTTTGGTTTTTTTTGGGGAGGGGAGAGGGGGAGGGAGGAGCAGTGCTCCTTTCTTGGTTATTGGGGTTTTAGTGGGCTTTTTGTTTTGAATTTTTTTTTAAACATATGTACTACCAAGATAAAAAAAAAAATTAAATGTTTCCAAGATAAGTACTTTTAAATGCTGTAAACTTCACATAGCTAACTCAGAAAACAGACAAAAAATATTATAAAATGTAAGGCTTATCATATTTAATTATGGCTTGGCAATTGCTATCACTAGTTACATGTATTGCAAAACAGTTTAGGTTCATTAATAAAGTTTCTTTGAAATATTCAGCTGCTAAGAAGGAAGAAGTCTACACATACAAACAACTACCAGTCAGACAGAAATAAGCAATTTTTTTTTATTTCCTCTCCCCTCACAGCTTAAAAATGCCACTTTTCGGCTGGATGAAATGGTCTAAAAATGACTCCTACAAACCCACAAGATATCCTGGATCTGATGTAGTTACAAAAACCCTACTGAGGGAATTGAAATGGCACCTGAAAGAGCGTGAAAGGCTAGTGCAAGAGATTGAAAATGAGCAAAAAGTCCAGAGGACTGGCATGGATTACAACTGGCTGAAGAACCAAAACCCTCAAGCAACAATTCCAGCTACCGAGCAACGGCAGCTCGAAGTTCTGTGTTCACAAATCCAACCTTGCCAAACGGGAACTGTTCTCAGCAGGTAACTGTTTCACATTTCTCTAACTTTGACTACTTTACCATAAGTAGAATGTTTCCTCTGCCTAATCCAAGCTTATATTTGGCGCTGACCTTTCTTCTAAAGTAACAAGGACCAGCAACTAGAACACACTTTTACAGGTGTTTTAGAAATTACATCTTTAATAGGTTGTGCTTGAAGGAAGTTTTTAATCAACATTTTCCTGGTCTAGCTCAAAACAAGGGAAGTCTCACATGCTTAAACATGTGACCACTCAACACTTCCAGTTATTCATCACAATATTTATTCAATAGTAAACCAGTGACCAAAAATCAGATTAAAGCAATAATGCAATGCACTGTTAGGCAGAAACCTGTTTCATTGTCCAAAATACCTGGAAGCTTCTAAAAGTAGCAAATCAGTGGGGAAAACACCAAACCAACCCATTTTTTAAAAGGAAACAAACCCCCACACATTTTACCAAAAAAAAATATTAGAATTAAAAAAACCTCCTATATATGTATTTTAAGTACATTTTCTCAGGACTAGCGAAAATGACAGAATAAGCCTATGTGCCTTTTAAAGCCCTGAACACACCTAAGGGCAAAGTCAGTTTAAATCAAGTTACCCAGATGGGTGGAAGAAAAAAAAAAAGCATACCAAATAACAATAGCTTTCAGCCCTCGTAATAGCTGGACCACATCCAGCACATTGTCAGAGCTCTCTTCCTCTTACAGTCTTCAGGGGGAGGTTTGTGGGGAAATGTGGCAGCAAGGAATAAGCAACACCAGACTGCAGTCATTTCCTCCTCTCTCCCCTCCCCACGAAAG